TATATTCGTGTGTTGTGTGTGTGTGTGTGTTGTGTGTGTGTGTATACTATTTATTATATATACATATATAGTATATATATATATATATATATATATATATATATATATATGTGGTGCTGTGTGTTGTGTTTGTGATGTTGTGTGTGTGTGTGTGTATATATATAGTATATAATATATATATATATATATAGTATAATATATATGTGTGATGTGTGTGTGTGTAGTGTGTGTGGTGTGTGTCGGTGTGTTGTGTGTGTGTGTGTGTTGGTGTGTGTGTATGATATGTATAGCGTATATAATCATGTGTTATGTGCGTGTCTGTATAATGTAATATATATAGTGGGTCTACAAATTGTAAAGTGTGGATTTCCATGACCTTCAGCTTCCTCAATATCAAAACCTTTGATTTACTCAATGGTGTTCACATGCTCTCAGTGACACGCCGTATGAAACCACCGCGAAAATTCCGCGGTAAGCACTCTGTCCACGTCTCGCCAACCCTTCATCTCATATATATAGAAAAGAGGTCCAAAGCAACAGCCAGTGAACTGTACAAGACTCAACCACTCTCCAACTACACTCATCGAATCGTCTCCCAGAGGTTTTGAGAACGGCTGACCTTGAAAGAAAGACAAGTTGACATTCTCATGGGCGTATAAAAATGCATAAGTAACATAAAGATAGGAATATTTCTGGGAAGTAATAATGACAATCTCAAAATAAGCAGATATGAGATTACCCTTCAGGCTGAATGCCAAAAAAGTTCTGTCACTAATCCACTATGAAAGATACTTGAAATACATTTGCGCCTTAAAAAAAAAAAAAAAAAGATCTAGAAATGTCTCACACCTCAGCTGTTCTCAGGCCACACACCAGCAAGAATAGAAACAATCCTAATAATATAAAACCGCTTTTTCATCAATTGAGGAAGGTCTACCTATAACACTAGCCAGTAATTATAACTACATCTATTGTCAATGCCTATTATTCATCCTAGAAACCTAGGTTGGAATGAATATTATACTATAATTTTCATTACATTGTTGTCTGAGGAAAAATAATGATCTGATTTTAAATAAGACACCCTGTGCACTTTGTCACTATTTATCATTAAAAAACACGTTACAGATTGATTGTAATGTAAAAGTCAAAACCGTCAATGCTTGGTCTTGGTTCAAAAAACTTTTTAGCCTCTCTCTATATGAATAATAATGTATGGTCAAAATGGAACAGCTATTAAAAACCCTATATATGTAATCATCAATATCTTACATATTGAAATCATGTGTTAATTTGTTTTAGCTATGGTATGCTTATTTATAAGTTTTAGCTTAGCTTATGTCTTATTATGGCTTATTTATTAGACGTAATTACTGATTTGTTATGTTCATACAGAGGCAGTTAACTTGGCCACAAGGTACATTTCATAATAACGTTATAATAAGGCGCCCGGGACGGTATTCAATGAAGGCCAAAGAGTATTAAATCCCCGTTGTTTTGTCTTCTGTTGAACAAATGATTTTCTGTCAATGGCTCCTCGGTCTGAGCCACCATGTCCTTACCAAGTGTCCGTCTCTACCACGCCCTCTCCCTAAAAACGCGATAAAAAAAACAACTAAGTGCTGCAGATTCTTTATTCCAAGAACAGTAATCCCACAAGCTATTTTACAGCGTGGGAAAGATTGAGATGAATATGGTGGGAGGGGAAAAGAGGTTCTGATTAATAAATGATTCTATCTAAACCAAACTTGTAATTTTGAGATTCGCATTTCTTTCCTAAAAAAAACTAAAAGCATCTTATGCCCCAAAGGCGGAAATAGTCTCATAATCCTATCTCGTAGCAACACAGTAACTCGATCCTTACTAATTAATGGACATCAACACCCACGTGGAACGGGCCTTCACTACAAGATCTTGTCCATACAAACTATTATCAATAAAAAACAACTCCACTAGTCATGATTATAAGAATACTACCTTCAAAATTCGCAACTAATAATACTCCATTTAAATTTCCTCCGTCTCTTACAATGCACATCTACACTTACGTCACAATTTGCTCGTTTACCCATATCCAATTGTAGAACTTCTATTCTCTACGTAACCTATTGCGCCTCTAGAGTCTTAAAAACTATCTACCTATAATCTTTCTCTTCTCTCTTCATCTGTAAATTTGGACATATGTAAGATTAAATTAAGTGTTGTATCCTATTAAAGAAAATGACGGAAACTTTCACAGACAAGTACTCAATCTAATCCAATACCCTACCAACCATACCCCCCCCCCCCCCAACCCCTATCTCATTAATCATCCTCTCCAGAAGATACAAATAACATCATTACCAAGATAATGGAACAACCTCAGAAGCACCCTATTTAATCCACATGCAAAACATAAAAATCCAACGCTATCGGCAATACATCTTAAGTGCGAAGCCAGCACCGTCAGTTATCTTCCGCAAAGTAGATTCTGCAGAGACGACTCTTAGATTAATCATCATAATCTGCCAACGCTAAACGTTCCTTGTTTAGCAGTTATGAGTCGAATGATTTAGTATTAATCATGTGAAAAGAAAGTGCTACGAATTCGCGAAAAAATAGTGAAGTTTTTTAAGTTAACTGAAAACACTGTCCCCGACGTCGGATGCATAGGAGAGAACGGGAGCTGGGTGGTGGATTAGGTGTGGTGGTGAGACGGGAGTGAGAGGAGTTGAGTAGGAGGGAGGCATGGAGAAGCAGGAGTAAAAAGCGAGGAAGAGAGACATGAGAAGATGGTGGGAGAGCGATGATGATAGAGAAATGAGCAAATGTTAGGTCGTGTTTTGTGGACTAGGAGGAGAATTAAAGTAGGAATGATTATTTGAAAAAATGAGTATAGTTGATTTGATGAGAGCTCATACACAACACACACACACACACACACACCACACCACAACACACATATATAATATGTATATAATGTATTATGTCGACAAAACTAATTACTATAAATCACATATATTAATCAATCTTACAAATAATTACTTTGCTACTACCCAAACAATCCACCAATGCATTATTCACCACATACCATCAACCACCCTTACCGACACCTATTACTACTCACATACTAACTAATAATTCATCTACTACTAATAATATATAATATATATTATAATATTCCTAATTATTTATCTATAATTCCTCAACTTACCATACTATGCTCAAATAAACGGTTAGACTATTTTCTATATTATCTAATAAATTAAACTAAAGAAATAACATTCACTATTAAGTAAATATATGATAGAAAAAACAATACTCATATATTGATATGAAATACCCGACCATATAATAGGATAGATTAAAATAGAAGTTAAAGTCACGTGTAATAGTAGCAGACACCAAATCAAGGAAACCAAGCCGATTATAAGAAAAATTTTAACAAAACATAAGAGACGAGAAAAAAGAAAGAAAATACAATAGAAAGGCTAAGAGTAAAAAAATTGCAAACATCCAATCTATAAGTTTCCAATCAAACAGAATCGTTTTAAGGAGATTCTTCATCCCATGCGCATTCGACTTAAGTCACTAACTAAATCACACAAAGTACTCTTAGCCACTTTAGTGAGATTCACCTGTTGATTGTAAATTTATATTAAATACCATCACTGTAAATTAACAACAATGAAGAAGTAAAGTGAAGTAGTGCTAAAATATTAAATCTTAAACCTACGAAGAAAATTAGTCTTTTTGTATGATTTTATTTTGCCGTCGTAGAGGCAGTGATAAAGACAAATATATTCTTAAACTTTTATAACCCATTCAATTTTCCGCATGTCATCTATAAAGTTTCCTTTTCTGCTCCTATTCCACCTTTTAACCACAATGAGGACCGACCAAGTTTTATCAATATATAAGAACACAATCAGCATAGCAATTTATCAAAATTATTGATCACAGAAATCATTTATGACGAAATAAAAAGGGAAGTGAGTGCATGAAAATAAGGCAAACCTCACTTTACAGTGGTAGTAGAAAGGAAAACAGAGTAACAACACAATTACAAACGTCCCTCGTACAGATAATCTTGAGTGTATACACACATCCACACACGGCCAATCAATTGAAACCCAACAATCATTCGTCTCGAAGATAGAAGACACATAACAAAACAGAACACATCAATACTGAAGGATATAGAAATAACATAGATCACCACATTTTTTGAGTAATTCATTGTTCGCCACCTAACAGTGACTCTCCAGCCCCAACTAGCTCAAGTTCAGTCGACTCCGTCCAGTCCGGAAGTGCTGGCGCCTCGAAGGTCCGAGCTCGTTAGAGATCTTACCCCTTCTGACACCCTTCATCATAATCCGCCAGCAGAAAGATAATCCTGCGTTCTTACCTGTCCCCTAGCTCTAGGGTGAGCAGTGTGACACCGTTCTCTCCCTCTCAATCTCCTTGAGCTCCTGTCTTCCCTCTGTACTTTCTAGCGCTTTCTTATTCTCCTCCATAGCTAAATGATCCTCCCAACTGCCTAAACCGAATTAAAATTCGACGACAATTCCCCCCCGCCTCTACCCAATCGCGCCAGGGCCTACTCGCCCGTCTGGGGGCTCGTACATCCCTCCCGACATACTCGCCTCCCGGCCACTGAGCTCCCGCCATGAGCTTAATCCTTGCTTAACGGATTCCGCGTTGGAAAGTCTGGACTCGACCGATGCAGGTGAAGTTCTCGGTCACTGTTGCTAAACCTTCCTTTAAGATTCTTGCTCGGGAGCACCCCCCTTGCAGACGACATCCTGCACCCAGAGGCCGAAGCTAGAAGTGGACCCGGCTGCCGAGATGATCTCAGTCCTATCTTACAGCGTAATCCATGGGAATATAAAGAAAAATTGCGTGCAGCTCTGGCTTAAGAAGTGAAAACTATACCCGACTTGATTGAAGACGACGAAAGCTGGCAGTGTGTTGGGTCGCAACTTTCCACATGACACCCCTGACGGTTTCCTGAGCGCAGCCTCCGCATCTTAAAGTGGCCAGTGCAGGTCGGGCACCTCGGCGGGCGGCTTCAGGCGGCGCAGCGTCACCTTCTGGTTGATCTGGATGAACTCCACGTAGTCCGTCTCCGAGGGCAGCAGCATGACGATGGCGTTGCCCTCGTTGCCGATCCTGGCGGTGCGGCCGCAGCGGTGCACGAAGGCCGTGGCGGACGACGGCGGGTCGAACTGGATCACCCAGTCCACGCGGGGGATGTCCACGCCGCGGCACATCACGTCCGTGCACAGCAGGACGCCGCTCGCCAGGGAACGGAACTCGTCGAAGATCTTGAATCTCTTGTCCTTCATCTTGCCGTGCAGGGACAGGATCTTCATGTTCTTCAAGGTCTCCTTCAGAATAATCGTAAAGTACTCCACGCACGCACACGTGGGGAAGAACACCATGCACTTCTCACTCCTCTTCTCCCTCAAGACCGCGAGCAGGGTTGCGAATTTCTTATCAGGTTCACACTCCATGTAAAAATTCATGAGACTTTTGGGCGTCCTTTCGTCACCCGTGGCGTCCTTTTCCTTGACTTTGACCTGCACTGGGTTTCTGAGGCCTGCCCTGACGAGAGTCACGACGTCCGAGGTCTGCGTGGCCGAAAAGAGGCCCGTCCTCCTCTGCTTGGGCAGGTAGGCAATGATGGTGCTGATGGTGGAGTGGAAGCCCATGTCCAGCAGCCTGTCCGCCTCGTCGAGGATGAGCACCTCGAGGGCGCGCACGCCGTCCGCGAAGCTCCCGCAGTCACTTATCTGGCGGCCAAGCAGGTCCTCCAGTCTCCCGGGCGTCCCGATGAGGATGTGCGCCCCGTTTGCCTTGAAGCGGTCGATGTCCTCGCTGGGGTACGAGCCGCCCACCGCCAGCATGGACGTGCGCCCGGGGAGATATTTGAGGAAGCCCTGCAGCACCTCGTGGATCTGAGTGGCCAACTCCCTCGTCGGCGACACCACTAGGGCGCCGATCTCGTGCTTCTTCAACTTCTGCTCGCGCCTCTCCAGGATCTGCAGCACCGGGATCAGGAAGGCCAGCGTCTTGCCGCTGCCCGTGACGGCCTCGGCGACCACGTCCTTGTGGCTGAGCAGCATCGGGATGCAGGCCGCCTGCACCGGCGTCATGCTCTTGAACTTGAAGTCCTTCAGGGTGCTCATGATCGGGGGGATCAGCTTCACCTTCAGGCTAGCCCATGAGGTATCCATGGTGGCTGATGCAGTGGGCGAGGGCGCTCCTTCCGCTGACTGGTGCGACACACTTTAATGGCCTGATAAATCCACTATCACGTATTGCTGCTAATGCATCAGTATCCTGGAAGACATACAAGGGTGGGCATTACATCGCTGGCCACAGCAGTCTTGTGAACCTTATTTAAGGCAGCCAAGACGCAAGCAAGGTTAAAAGACAAGCTTACGTTATTCTAAAGTTACAAACTATTCAAAGAGATAGATCCACCCCTGTATTTCTTGCACATTAGGTTTTGGAATATATGAAAGATAAAGCATTTTTTAATAACAAACCACTGTTTTCTTCTCCAGTGATTAATATAAAAAATAATAAATAAAAATAAATAAATAAATAATGGAAGAAATCTAAAAATCAAATTCATGGGCTCAGAGAGGCTTCTCAGCCATAACAGTAAAATACTGACTAGTCTTCAACGAAATAAAAGTATAATGGTGATAACAATATCAACAGTAACAAAAATAATATGACTGAAGACAAAACTTATTTCTCCTTTATTAGGAGAGATGATGTCGGTGAAAAGTAGCACTCATCATCCAATATACCAACTAACTGCATAAACCTCACTACTGAATGTTATAGATATATATTTCCATAGTATTAGTGCATGTACTATGTATATGTGATTTTGTGTGTGTGTGTGTGTGTGTGTGTGTGTGGTGTGTGTGTGTGTGTGTGTGTGTGTGTGTGTGTGTGTGTGTGTGTGTGTGTGTGAGTGAGGTGTGTGTGCAAGTGCAAGTGAGTGTGCGAGTGCAAGTGAGTGTGCGAGTGCAAGTGAGTGTGCGAGTGCAAGTGAGTGTGCGAGTGCAAGTGAGTTGCGAGTGCAGTGAGTGTGCGAGTGAGTGCGAGTGAGTGAGTGAGTGAGTGAGTGAGTGTGTGTGTGTGTGAAGGTGAGTGACTGAGTGAGTGTGTGTGTGTGTGTGAAGGTGAGTGAGTGAGGGAGTAGAATAAGAGTATTTCTTGCATTGTCACTCACTAGTATTTCTTGTAAATGTACTTAACAAATGCAAAGATTAAATTGCCAATAAAAAAATTTTCTCATTATCTTTTATTATTATTATTTTTTAGATACACAATATTTGCATACTAATTTTCAGACACCAGGTCTGCCATACAAATTTCAGAGTGGAAGGAGATAGTTTAAATAATATGAATTTTAATACTGACCTTTCCATGCATCATTTTGCATATTTCTAATAAATCCAAATTTGGAGTGCAGGGCTTGGGAGAAATAATATTAAAAAGCTACTAATCACAGAAATATATATTGTTCACATTCAAGTTTTTTCCAAATTAATTTAGGTACAACAAAGCCAATACAATGAGATTCTTTTATATGAAAGGCACCACTGCTGTTTCTGTAATTGCTTATCATTTTCCCCTTATCACAACTGATCTGAAATTTTCTTGTTACACAGGAATATAAAAACAATGGCCAGTGTTATGTGTACAGCGCACGGAGATAAGAGGGAAACAGACATCGCAATCTTATTGAGCGTATGAAATAGAATAAGAAACAACATAGTTTAAGCTCTAGTGGCTTCATATTCACTGGTATATGACCATTATATGGCCATTTTCTATAGGTTGGCATGAAGTGCTAATATATGGAGGGTACTGGGGGGTTTGCCCCCCTGTCTAAGATATAAATAGAAGGTAGAAAAGTTTAGATTAGCAGTTTGGGTTCACATGATACCCTAGTTTTGGGGCTCTGTCTCTGGTGGGTACGTTGCTCTCAGTAATAATTACACCAATTTCATATGGTAAGGCGTACAGCACACGAGAGTATCTGCAGGTAAATGTTATTTTTGGGTAATAAGCCCAAACCTAACCTGAGAGTGGTATCATCATCTCTTATTGAGACACCACCATCTAATTTTGGAAAATTTACTGTGGATAACAATCAGGAATTGAGTAAAGGAAACAATAGCAATAAAGTACCCTATAACAGAAGAAAGAAGTACCGCTACTTGAATCATACCATCCCTGTCATGTTATCACTGGTAAATGGCGTTTATTAACATTTCCTTTCATACGAGTCAATTTGTCTCCATAACTTAGACCAAATATAACTAATTCAACCTTGCATAACTTATAACACGAAACACAGAAATCGATCCTGCCTTTTAACACACCAATATAACTCATCATAAACACCTTTCTTCTCTCTCTTACACTTATTTTCAACTCACCTTTGAAGAAATATTTGTAAAATTCCTGCATCAGACAGAAGAACGACATTTTCACCGTATACAGACGGAAATTTTCCGAAAGTACACAACTTATTGAATAACAGGGCGACTTTTTTTCTCTTAAAGATGAACAACACGTGTGGTTCTGCGGTTTGAAAAAGCACGTGGTTCTCGGGAACAGGTGAACAAATTTAAGAAAAATAAGAAGATAATGCAGGATAAATGTTGGGAATAGGAAGGAAGAATTTCGAGAAAATGAGAGAGAAGGAGGATGGACGAATTTTCATGGGAGTGAACGAGGAAAAGCTTCCTCTAACCCATCGAAGTTCTCAGAACGAAACGTGTTGGTTTATAAACATTGTGTCCGAGAGTGTGGAGCGTGGCTTTACATTTTTATTTTACGGGTTGAACTTTTTGCCTCATTTATTCAAATTTTGTCGTTGTGTTATACTGTTTTGAATGTCTTTTTTATTTTAGAGTGTTCAAATAACATATATATGTTGATTTCATATTCAATCATTATAATTTTTTCCTCCGAATGTTATCATTTGACTCTGACTTCGACGGACTCTATATGCGACCCACCCGTCAGAGGCAATGTTCTTCGTGTTATTTAACCGGATATACAATTAAACAAACGTTTTTATGTAAGGAAGGTAGGGCGAAGGCTCCGTTTTGGGGGGTATATTACATAACCATTATATAACCACATATATTTTAGCTTTAGAATTATTCATGAAGACCTCAACTTGACTTACATTGATCCTTCGATTATTACTTGGAATGTCTAATAAACCCAAAGATATTTAGTAGATAGTCATGAAGGAGATTTATATTTTTTATTTGTTAGTTATCTGCCTATCTGTCTGCTGGAAGACTGATAAGTGAAGGAGATGATATAGTAATTGTTGAATTTAAAGCTTTCAGAAATTACATAACATTGTTTAAAGTGTCAGGAACAGAACTACTTGGAAATAATATCACAATGCCATCTAAAGGAATATAATTGACATTCGCTGGTAAGGTCGAGTTTCATCCAGCCATCTTTTTTATGGAAAATAGTATATGCAAATGATAGAGCAAATAAATCTAAGAAACTTATCTTCCTGCACTTCAGTCACAAATCAAAGATAACAAACATAAATCAGACTGCATAAGTGATAAACAACTTCATTCAGACGGCCAAAAAGTGCTCCCTAAAGTGACCCCAAATTTGGCCAACAAACCTCCACCTTGCAGATTCTGGCAGGACAGGGATTTTTGACCTCTGTGGCAATTTGTTGTCAGGTAAAAAATGGCCCAAGTTATATCTTGACAAAATATTTGCTTATTTATTGGCTTTTGTCAGATCAAGAAGTGTGGAGGCCAAAGATTCTCATTATGCTGTTCCATTCTGAATGATTCTGCGTAAAAATTTGTTCTGAAAAATTGTATGGATCCTCATTATTATTGTAATGAAATTTTACTTTACAAATCTGGTCAAAAGGTAAAAGTTTGAAGCAGAAACACAATGTGGTTAGATATCAGGGATAATACACAGTTGTCTCTTCTGCTTCCTGTACATACTAACATTGAGAAGTAATGTATTCATATGTTGCTTAGTGATAGAGTTTCCAATTAATTCATGTACTTTGTAATACTTTTTATAAACTTCTAATTGATATTTATTTGTTTATGTAATTGTTTGCTACAGTTTCCAGTTTCTCAGTCATGTAGTACAAAGTAACAATAGAATTTGACATAAGAAATCTTTTGTATTTCCTTCTAAAGTTGATAATAAGAAAATTTTGCAACATGTTAGTAATACCTTGTATACATTTACATAATAATTGCCCTAAGATGGGGAAAATTTTACATTATTAATGATAGTCTTACAACTCTTTTTTTACAGGATTGGTTAAGAACAGATGGAGATTACATTGCTCACAACTTCAGTGATTTGAGAAAATATATTTTGAACTCAGAGAAAATGAGACACCTTTTTCATACTGGAAAATTATGCCGAAACCTTTCTAAAATGAGAATTGTATCATACAATTATCATAGGCCAAAGACTACAGTATATCAAATACCAGAATATACAACTTGCAAGAGTATTCATACAAATGGATGCAATTACATAAAAAGAGACTTATATATGTATGCAAGAATACCAATTCTTTCTCAACAAAGAATACCAAGCAAAAGCAATATACTTTCAAAATTATATAATGAATATGTTCAATATTCTACACGGTCTGAAGAAGAGCTGTCGTTATGCAATGAAAAAGTTCAGCACTGTCTTTCGGAAATGAGAAAGAGGTTTAGATCCTGTTTTCAAAGCCCCACAGAAGAGGATCAGCTCACTGCAAGGTCGCTCAAACCCTTAATGGTCTTGCTGGAGGAGGTGAGATAATGATAAATGTTAAAAGTTGATATAAAGTAAAGGGAGAAAGGATATTGGTAGACTTTTAATTGCATGGTTATGGTAGAATATATTGTAGTAAATATGATGGTAAAGAAACATGAAGTGTGCATCTGATATTAGTCGGCTAAATCAACACTACTTAGGTAGAATGGCTGTTTTTTTTTTTTTTTTCAGAAAAAAATAGATTCTTGATATTGATATGTTAATTAAGAAAAAATGATGACAAAAACATATGCTTCCAGGTTGACAAAATTCAGTCTGACATTGATGACCTCCGTAGCATGGCCAGTGACCCAGAGAACGATAAGGAGATGAAGCAGCTAGCCGAGAGTGACCTTGAAGATGCACTTGAGAAGTTGAAGGAGATCGAAGATGATGTAAGGTCTTTGTTTTTGTTCCTTGTTTTGGATATTCATTTGTATTTTGCTCTCCCTTTTCTTTCTTTAGTTCTCAGAACTGATTCCTTTCCCCTTTGAGCCCTCCCAATAAATTGATCATTGTTGTTGTTGGAGGGCGTAGGAGAGGGAGACTGAGGCCCAATGTAGAGGATCACCCCTACTTTGGGCCTCAGCCCTCGCCTCAACTAATTTTGCTTTGTCTTTTCTTCTCTTCTTTCCTCTTCCGTATCTTCTTCATCCCCTTCTATCCCATTCCTAAGTTGCGAGAGCAGTGCTGAAAGGATGAAAGGCTGGCTTTGTGTGAGTCAAGAACAACCTCCGGAAGCCATGGGCATGGTATTCCCTTGCTTAATTGCCTAGCCCATATCCCTTATCGGGACCCTAAGGGGTAGACCGTTTCTTTCCCCTATTTTATTTAGGCTCACCATGGCTAATAATTCCTTAACAGAGGCATTAAGGCTTGCCCCTTCATCAACTAGCCTATCCAAATTTGATTTTGATGGGTTTCTGACCGCAGCTCTGACCCCTGATACTAATACCCTTCCTTGTTGCTTACTGACAACTCCATTCCCAAACACCCAACCAGGTTATTACTCAGCCGCCAGAAAGCACCTCTTCCTCTTTGCCAATATTCTCCTCTCTATCTCCTACTGCACAGTCCTCTCCAATGTCTACCCCCTCTTCCCTTATTACTACTCATCATCCTTACTGTCCTCCCCCCCACAGAACTACCCCACTCCACGCCACCCATCAACCTCTTGCCCTCATCCTTCTACTGCCACTATCTTCAACAGTGCCTCCAAAAACAAGTAGGCAAGGTTACCTTTTGTTTATGCCTTGTCACAGTTATATTTGAATCCCAAGCTCATATGCTATCTACACTATCTGACCTCACTGGCAAACCAATCCTGCCAAACCTTACCCCTCTCTTAAAATCTGTACTGGAACTGTTTCTATTCCCCCAAATGCTTGTCCCACATTTGACAAGGGATGGTCAGACTGTGAAAATGTTCACTTACATCCCTTGCTGATTATGATGCAGTGGTAAAGTGTTGCGCTATTCCTCCCAGAGGCTAGTGTAACTCCTATGACAATATTGCCAAGATAAGCTTCTGTAGACATGACCTCCCCCATGGAGTTTATATTGGTGGATTGTTTTATCATGTCTGACCATATCGGCCCCTTCCTCTTTAGTGTCAAAAATGGTGGGGTTTTGGGCACCCAGCCAAACACTGTCGCTCCACA